CTGGATTTTATGCATCAAATGATCTTAATTATACACATGAACACATACAAGTCTAACAGGATTAATGAGGCAAAACTAAGACCATAATAACAAAGGGAGGAAATATTAAAGAACTAGAGAATAGTTATGTGTTTCCACAGTGTGCTATACTGAATCCTGAATACATCATCCTTTCCATGTGACCCTTCTGTGAGGGACAGTCTCATTATCTTACAGGTGGGTTTGGGGTCTCCATTTTGTGCACACTCCTTCATGTCAATTTGGCTGGTAGTTTTTGAACTTCTGATACCTATTCCCATCAACTCCTCTTGATCACACAGGCTGCTGTGCATCTTCCATGTGGACATTGTTACTTCCCTGCTAGATGGCCACTCGTTTAACTTCAAACCTTTAAGACCCAGACGCTTTTAATAGCCAGGCAACATCCAGATGATAGAGACTTTTGTGATTGAAATATTATTTCAAGAAATGGTGTGGAGGATATTAGGACACTTAGGCTTATTGACAAAAGCTATGATGCTGTTTTTAGGAGCTGTTGCGTGGGTCCGCTTGACAGAGACAGTCTGTACAGCAGAAAGACTGCTCAGTCCTGTACCATCCTTAAAATCCTTTGTATGCTTAAACCCACTGCTACAGATACTGTGTCAGTCCATCTGGTTGAATGGCTTGTTCTTTTTATGCTGACCCTCTACTTTAGTAAGCATGATGTCCTTCTGCAGGGACTGGCCACTCTTGATAACCTGTCCAGGCTAGTTTGCTCTATCTGGATGGACTCAGCTGATATCTAACTTAGGTGGCTGCTTGTTTTAAGACAAGACTAATATTCCAGGTGCTATTCTTTCTGATAGCTTGGTACCATCTGCTTTCTACAGCACACTTTACTGTAGCAACTATATCCTCAGTGATGACTTCACCAGGGCAGGTATTGAGCAGGATCACATCTTAGAATGAACTGTTCTTAGGTTAGGGTTTATGATGAAGTCTATGCTTAAAATCCAGTAGATCTAAAGTGCATATATATATAGTTACTTTTATCACCTTTTATTTTAAGCTTAATTTACTCCCGAGCCATAGGTTTTTGCTTCCTCGGTTTCTTCTGGTATATCTTGTTTCTGTGCGATGTCCTCGTCTAGCTTAGGAACAATGTGTTCCTTCTTAGTCAGGATCATTTCATGTGGCGGAGGGGGGTGTCATGTATGGGTTGATATGACTATGAGCTCTGTAAGTCTGGTGGCACATCTTAGGGGCTCTGTTCAACTCCACCATTGAAACATTGCAAGGGCACACGCTGCTTCAAATACTTGGTGGCTTTCCGGATATGCATACCCTTAATGGCCTGGGGAGTCTTAAGGACGTTCTTAAAGATTCGATTAAAGACCCGAAGAATTGATCCTTCTCATCTGCATGATTTTGTGCAGATTTCTGGGTCAAGTGAGTAGTGAACCATTTTTTCAGATCACCTCAAGCTGCTACTGGAATAGCAAGACTGGTGGATCCTGGGAGAACGCATAGTCACTCAACTTCTCTTAGTTCACTTTAGAGGCAGCAGTATCATCTTGTGCAGAAATAATTTCAGTAACCTCCATGAGACATTTGGTAATAAAAGTATCATTAACCTAGGCAATGGTATAGAATTTAAAGTGCTTTGTGAAAAAAGGAAAATATGCACATACAGGGAAGCATTTTAGACTAAAATACATGGGATGTCCACTTCAACAGGTTAAAAACTTAAGTAACAGTTTAAGAAAGCAGTGAAGGGTAGACACAAAGCAAAAATCTCAATCACACTCATTTACTAAGGCACAACTATGCCTGCAGCATTAAGATACGTCACAAAAATAAAGTAGGAAAATAGAAAGTAAAGGGATATAGCATCTGGGGTCTTAAAGGCTTAAAAGAGAATCAAGCGGACATTTAGCTGAGAAGCAACAAAGTTCACATGGATGAAGCACACCAGCCTGTGTGATCATGAGGTGTCGATGGGATCAGGTATCAGGCATCGAAGAACCAGAACAAAAAATCATAAAAATGCGAACAAAGGGGATTGTGGAGTGGAGACACAAAGCCCATTTTTAGACAATTGGATATCCCTTTATGGAAGGGTGACAAGGAAGACACGAGCCAGTCAGGGTTCAGTATATCACTGATAAAACATACAACTTTCCTCTAGTTCTTTAATGCTTTCTCCCCACTACTATCATGACCTCAATTCTACCTTAAAAATCCGGCTAGACCAGAGCATGTACATGGGTATAGATAAGAGCTGGAAACACAGGGAATCCATGAAAGATAAACCTCTGAGGACCAATAATGAGAGTAGATATACCAGGAGGGTAAGGGGAGGCTGGAGGGAGAAAGGGGGCACCGATCACAATGATCTACATATAATCCTCTTCCAGGGGGTGGACAACAGAAAAGTAGGTGAAGGGAGACAGCAGATGGTGTAAGACATGAAAAGAAAATAATTTATAAATTATCAAGGGTTCATGAGAAATGGAGGGTGGGGGATGAGGAAATATCAAGGGCTCAAGTAGAGAGAAAATGTTTTGAAAACAATGGTGGCAACCGATGTACAAATGTGACTGACACAACGGATGGATGGATGGACTGTGATAAGAGCTGTAAGAGCCCCCAATACAATGATTTGTATAAAAAGGACACTATATATTTATATAGCTCACCTCAAGAAATGAAATCTACCACAATATCCTGTTAAATCATCCATATATGGGGTTCTCCACCCCTCCATAACTCCTCCCTTCTTTCTCAGTATCCTCTCCCCCCTTTTCTTTGTTCCCACCCTATCCCTGGCCTCCTTGTAGTCATCAAAGTTTAGTCTTTGGGGGTGTATGCCAGGTTTCTTTTTCTTTGTTTTTCCTAATAATTATGGTGTTATTAAGTATTTAATCTTTGTAAAATTGAGTAAGTATGCCAAGAATAATGTTCTTTAGTTTTGTCCAGGTCTTGTGGTGTTTAAGAGTTGTCATTGTTTTTTATTGCTGCATAATACTCCACTGTGTGGATGTAACAGAGCTTATTTATCTGTTCATTGATAATAGGGGTTTGGGGTTGTTTCCATGTTTTCGCTATTATAGTAATTGTTGCAATAAACATGTCTGTTCGTGTTGTATTCTTTATTTCTTTAGGGTATATACCCAGTAGGTCCCAGTTTTTATTTTGTCATCTACAGTGTGGATATTTTTCACTATGTTCAATAGTGTGTTTATGACTTGTATTAGGGTCCTTAAGTTTGTCTCTATTGTTTCTTTGATGGTCTTTAGAATTGTGTGGTTTATATTAGGTCTTTGATACATCTTGATACATAGTCCAAAAACTTGGCATAGTCAATAAACACAATTAATCATCTTTCTGGTATTCTCTGCTTTCAGCCAAGATCCATCTGACATCAGCCATATCCACTGTTCCATGTCCTCTTCTGAATCCTGCTTGAAATTCTGACAGCTCCCTGTCAATGTACTGTAGCAACCGCTATTGGATGATTGTCAGCAATATTTTACTTGCATGTTATACTAATAACACTGTTCTATAACTTGAGTATTCTATTGGGCCACCTTTCTTTGGAATAGTTTTTGGCACAATGATTCTGTGTATTCTTTCTATCTCCGTTTGATGCTTCCTCCATCGTCCATAGAATCTTTCAATATTGCAATGCAAGACTTGGATTTTTGCTTGTTTCTTTCAGTTGAAGATAAGTTGACCATGTCCTTTTATGGTTTTCAAACTCTAGGCCTTTGCACATTTTTTTATAATACTTTATTTTGTCTTTTTTTAAAAACATTTTATTAGGGGCTCATACAACTCATCACAATCCATACACACATCAATTGTGTAAAGCTCATTTGTACTTCATTCTCAAAACATTTTCTTTCCACTTAAACCCCCGACATTAGGTCCTCATTTTTCCCCTCCCTCCCCCCTCCCCCCTCCCTCATGAGCCCTTGATAGTTTATAAATTG